GCACTCCAGCCTGGGAAACAGAGCGAGACCCTATCTTGAAAACAAAAAAAATTAAATGGAGGGAGCAAAGAGGCTTGGGGCTGAAATTAAAGTTCAAACTAAAATCCTAAAGAGGTTGACTATGCTGATTTCCTTTGGACGTTAAAAAGCCTGCCAGAAGGATGCTAATTGTCAAGGCTTCCCAGGGCTTGGAGGAGCTTCCCAGAATGCACTGGGAGTGAGGCAGACAAGGCTGCATGGGCCCAGTTCTCTTTGTTCTGCATGTGGGTTGCTGCAGCGGGGCATGATGGAGACAGATACGTGTGAAAACATTTTGTACACTGGATAGCGTACGAGGAGGAGGAGGAGGATGTGGCTCACATGGCCTGGTTTCAGGCTCAGCTTTGCCCCCAGCTAACTGTGTGACCTGGAGGAAGTTGCTTATCTGGGCTGCAGTCTGCCCCTAAGAAATAGTTGGACACTAGACAATCTCATTGTTCCATTTGAGTCTAACAAAGATGACCTTGGCGAATGTGGCACAAAATTCTGTTTCCTAGAAACATACTCTAACCAGCTGCAATGATAGCAAAATATAAAAATAATGCAGCACGTAGTATGAGCGAAGCACGTAGTATGAGCCAAGCACTGAGCAAAATAATTTTTCACGGCCCATCTCACTTATATCTCCTGATAAAGGTACAAGCTGAATACTTGCATTATCCCCACACTAAAGATGAGAAAACTGAAACTCAGAGAGGCTAAATCATTGCTCAAGTCCCCTAGCTAGAATGCAGCAGATCTAGGATTCGGAAATTTGGAAAACCAAATTTTCCTGTCTCCATGGCCTCCCTCTTAAGCAAAGGTTCAGGTCACAGCCATAAGCCTGGATGCAGCGGAGACGGTTAGGGCTAATAGGCCCTCACTTCAGGGTCACCAACAAGCCAGAGTCTGATCTCCTCTAACTGAGTGTCCCTGGCTTAGGCAGGCAGTGCAGGAGTGTAACCGGATCTGCTTAGAGAGGCCCCAGCTTGCGCCATTCACTGGGCCAGAAACCTGAGCTGCTCCTGAGAGGGCTGGAGGACAGCTTGGGGCTTGGAGATTGGCTCACACTATCCCAGCTATTCCATCGCAGACTAAATGGCTTCTGGCCTTTGTTAATGGCGCCATCTCAGATCAGTGCCAGGGGAACCACTGGTCATTTGGGGGCACTGGGGGGAGCAGGGTAGAGGGGTGTGGTGATGGTGGGTGATTAGCAGCTCCCCTCTTCCTCCTCACCCCTTGGTCCCTCTAGTTGACCCACCACTTTCCCCCAGTTGATGCAGCAGAAATTTCCGGTGGGAGGGATACTCAGGTTTGGGAGTCCATTTCATTCCTGCATGTTCACTATTTATAAGCCTAAGCCACAGCCTGCCTGAAAATTCCAGGTCATACTCCCGCAACCCAACCTGATCAAATATTCATGGAAGCTGATGAGCTGTCATCATCATGAATCCCACGACCTGCATTTATTGCTTTGACACTACTTTATAGGAATTACTTCTCCTCCTCTGCCCTGTGCCACATTTTCACCACCCTTCCCCAATAAATCCAGCTCTGAGCAATTTATAAATGTGTAGCTTATCAAAATCGTGCTCAGGCCTCAACCTGGGAGAAGCAAACTAACTGGAAATTAATTTATGTATTAGGCATTGATTACAGTGTAGACCCTTTTAAATGTTTGTAGAAGTGCATGATAAGGTAAAAAGAATCTTTCAATCAAAAAGACCAGGCCTTGAGTCCCAAAGCTGCCTTTTGCAATGCGATAATAGTCACTTACACTGAATCTGAGTTCATCATGTCTCAGACAAGGCACTCACATGACAAGTCTATGAGCCAAGTGTTATTATTGTCACCTCCTATTTTTCAGATGAGGAAACTGAGGCACAGAATAGTTATATAAATTGCAAAAGGCAAATTGCAAGGTCACATAAATTGCAAAAGGTAAATTGCTAAGCCCAATTTCCACATATTGGGAAAATAAGGGATAATAATTCCTGATTTACCAAGTACTTGGGAAGGTTAGATTCTGTAAAGTAGGAGGGTTTAGCACAAAGAATGCCTCCCTCCCTTCCCTTCCCCTCACCTTCCCTTCCCTTTCCTTCCCTCCCGCTTTCTTTCTTGCTTTCCAATATTGATCAAAGGTGCCATTATATCAGGTCTTGTGCTAGGTCCTGGAGAGATGGCGTGAACCAGGCAAAAGCTGCCCTCTGCTTCACTCTCTCTTGTGAGCCTGCCATCTTGCAAGGTGCAGGCGATACACCATGACCTTCCCATTGTCCCATGTTCTCTCGCACCCAGAGGATCAGTATTTCCCCTCCTATGGCTTCTGCCTTCTCTCTGGTTCTGGGGGTGGGGGGAATGACTGGAGGCCAAATCCAATAATCTTTGTTGTCTGTTCCCCCTTTCTTAGCTTTTAATGTGATCAAAACTCAGGTCTGGACTGAAGCCTAGAGAAGCAGACATGTTTGCCCCAAGGCTGTCTGAGGAGTGAGGAGCTAGGGCAGGATTTGAACTAGATATGTCTGACCCAAGCCCCATGATAAGGCCGTGTGTTCCAAACTCAGGCAACTGTTACGGGTGCAAATTCCTTCCCTACTTTGAGCTAGAATCCCCAGCCTGCCATTTGCATCTGATAGTGTTCTATATTCTCAAAATAGAAGCCACTCTGGCAAATATTTGGCATTATATTTCTGTCTTTCCTAATGCTCCTCTATGCTTTCAACTTTTTTTTCTTTTTTTTTTCATTAGAAAGGATGTTGGGCTCCTTTTTTTTTCTCCTGTGGCTCTTGCTGAGCCTGCTACCCTTTGTCAAAGTGTCCCTTTAAGCCGTATGCCTGAGTCAAATGGGCCACTTCCAATGCGGGCTCACGTGCGGGAGCGAGCAGGCTGCCCATCTCCCATAGTGAGGGCTTGCTCCAGCTTTTCTGTTGGGCACACCCCACGAAACATGATCTTTGAGTCCTCTGGAAACACTGGTTATGGGCATATCCACTGCTTCTGAGGTGAGGGTGCCTAGGCACCAACATGCATTGGGCACCTGCTGGATTCCAAGCTTAGTTCACACACAGTGTTGCTTGAGCTGTCTCCCTGTGTCGCTGAAGCAGGTCTTGTTAGTCTCATTTTGCAAATGAGGCACTGAGGCTCAGAGAAGGGCTATGATTAGGAACACAGAACTAAGCAAAATCTCCCAATCTTTTTGCCCATGTGGTCAGGCTTTGAAGCCCAATGGGCAGGACTGATAACGACCACTGTGAAAATAATGAGTTTGGATTCAGTTTCTCAGACATGACCTTCATAGTGTGTTGGAGTTCCAAATGTTTCAGGACCCAGAGTCGGGGTATGATCCCCAACTTTGTCATTTCTCTGAATTTGATCATCATGGCATTCATAAATGTCAGAAATAGGACAGTGTTGTGTTCAGACTCCTCAGGTCTCCATCAGAGACCTGCCCCATCCCAGCCTCTGTTGTCTCACTGACCGGAACTTTTCGCGTCTTGATCCAAGAACAAGAAGGAATCTAGTGAAAACATCCTCACTCCCGCCCCCTACCACCAAGCTTCTTCAACTGATCTGAGTGGGTATTAAGAAAACCATTGTGGTGGGCATTGGTGGTTTTCAGCCTATGTTTATTTCTTGTTTGGGGTTAACCTTTTATTTTCTCCGGGAAATATAATAGATTGGAATATTGCTCTCGATTCTTCATTCCCCCGTTAGAGAATTATACATCTATGCCCTTTATCACATGACTTTTCAGTGTCTCTCCATTGAAGGGGAGAGTCTTTCTCTCCAAGGGACTGAAGTTGAGTTTGGTCATGTGACTCTTGTGAACCAGCGGCACATGAGTGGTTACGAGCTGAGCAGTGGCTCTAAACGTGTTTGTGTGATTTGGTCTTGTGTGCCCCTATTATCCACAGTGAGAAAAACATGTGTCCTGGTCTACACAGGATAAGAGGGACATGGTACAGACCCACGTCTGGCATTAGTCTGGGGTCAAGCCCAGTCCCTCCCAGCAAGAATACAACTTATTCTCAGATTCATGAGTAAGAAATAGAAAGGCTTGTTAGCATATGCCACTGAGTTCTGTAGTTGTTCCCCAGAATTAGTTCAGTGATAGCAGATTAACTCCTACAGGGAGGCATCCCCTGTCCCAGGCCTTCAACACCCAGGGTAGGGACCATGGCCCAAGCTTGGTCGAAGCGTATCTGTGCTGGTGGCTCCTGATTTCTCATCTTACCCACTGTCCATTCTCTGCCCAGCTCTCGCCTGCTCCAAGCCCAGGCCCCTTCCTCCGCTGCAGCCCCCACTGGGCTCTGGTAATGCAGTTTCCTTTCCCTGCCCCTCATGTCAATGGGAGGCAAGAGAGTCTCCCTGTGGCTAGTTGCAGGTGCTTAATACCCTTGTGGGTTCCCTTGTCTCACATCTTAGACCTTTCATTCATTTATATTCACAATCCCCACCGCACATACTGTCTATTTCCAACTGAGATGGCCTGGTCCAGACCACACCCTTCGTCTCAAATTCTAGATGCACTTGGGCAAGTCACTTACACTTCATTTTATCCCCCACTGAGAAAACAGGGATTATTCTGTTGCCCTTTCCATGCTGCCAGGAGAGAGAAATCGGATCACGGGTAAACAGTGGCTGGCCTTGCCTTTTAGCCTCACGGTGGATTTGCAATACAGGTGATTTCTCCGGGCCTATCTTGCTCTTGCTAGCATCTAATATGATGCCAGGAACACACCAAAGCATTAATAAATATTTGTAGATTGAAAAGCCCTCTGGTAGATTCTCTTCTTTTGACCTTTTGATTATTTTTCCTCTTGACATAACAGAATAACATACCTAGTACCACGGTGACAATCGCTATAGAAATCCATAGCTTGCTCTCAGCACACCCGCAGATGCCAGTGGGAGGCTGGCATAGATTTGGACCAATAGAGAGAAGGCATGGTTAGCCTTGTCCTGGTTACAAAGAACACGCTTTTTTTTCCCCCCCTTTCAAATGGACCTTCCTGTCCCCAATTCAGCATCACCTAGCTCTCTCACAATGTGGGTTCATTTTCCACCAGCTCCTAGAAAGAGTGTATTTCCAGACTCTCTGGGGACAGACAGAGGAGTTTCAAACAGGATAAAGCAAGCTTCGATGGAGAATATTTGGAGCCTGCCGTGGCGTCAGGCTGCTCCAGCCGCATTTCTGCCAGAGGGTGGGAATGTGTTTGCTTGGAACAGGTAATCCTTTCGGATACTCTAATCCGAGGTTTGAAATAGACTTGTGTTGCTAACAGAAACCCCTGTTGTGTGGCCTTTTCTTTGTCAGGCAGGCTTGCCCTGGTAAAGGCTGGGGGTGCACTGGCTTGGGGGGAGGTCCTTTACTGAAGGCAAACAGGGCGTCTGCCTCTTTAAGAGGGACCTTGAGGAGGGACAGTCAGAAAATCACAGAGATGAAAGCCAGATGGCCACTAAATAGGATGGCAGCGAGTGAGGAGAGGACGGCCAGCTGGGCTGTCTGCTTTATCACCTTGCAGTGGAGCAGACTTCGGCCTGTGGCTGCAGGTGGAAGATTTGGGGGTAGGGATGGCACCCTGAGCCAGGGCCCTCCGAATGGTCCAACTGGCCCCACCTTCTGCCCAAACTGGAACACAGAGTTCTACATCCAGGAGACAGAGAAAGTCTGGGCCATGGAGTCAGAGAGGTCTGGGTTCAAATTCTAGCTGTGTCTCCCTGAACAGTGGTCCAGTCTGTCCAACTTCCATTTCCTCATCCATAACATGGAATGGTGATCCCATCTCACAAATTCACCGTGAGGCAAGTACGAAGAATACGACTTGAGCACAGTGCGTGGGGTAAAGTAGGTGCTCAGGAATTGCAGTGCCCCGTCTTCTGGAGAGTACACTAATAACTGTTTAACTAAGAGAGGGAGAAGGGGAACTTTTTTTTGAGAGTCTGGGATCCTGGCCATTTAAAAATGAAATCCCCAAATCTGCTTAAATACCTTACTAAGAATGCAAGTATATCACTCAGGGCTAGTATCAGATACCTGTAACAGAAAACCCAGATAACAGTGGCTTAAACTACAAGAGTTTACTTTCTTTTCTCTCATATAAAATAAGCCCTGATGCAAACAGTCAAAGACTAGAATGATGGCTCCCCAGTCATCCCTTCCAAGAAGCCAAGGCTCTTTCTATCTTTGTGCTCTGCTACCCTCAGAGAGTGGCTTCCTCTGTCAAGGTCTTTGCATGGTCACAAAACGCTGCTGCAGCTCCAGCCATTATGTCCACATTCCCGGCACCAAGAAGGGGCCAGAAGTGCAAGAGGAGGCAACTCTCAGGTGAGTCAGCACTTTTAAAACTCTTGACCAGAAGCTTCTCCCATTGACTTCAACTTACATCTTATTGGGTACCCTCTATGGCAAGAGGGGTTGGGAAATTTATGGGGCTGGTAGACCCTCCCAATCATAACAGGGGTTCTGCTAGTAGAAGGCAATGGCAGAATGTTACCTCTGCCATAGCCAACATGCAGCTTCTTCAACTTCCCTGGAAAGGTTTCCTGGGCATATTTCCCCGGGAACAATAAAGTGTCTTGGGTTTTCTGCCTTCTCCACCATCAGTCCTCACTCAGTGGACCGGCTGTTTCTGGAAAGGGCCACTGGTGGGAGTAAGGTCAGAACCCTGTGGCACACAGCTGGTCTCAAAGGCAGAGCTGCAGGAAGGTCGTGGCCGTGCCTCTGACTGACTGGTTGTTCCTCGGTGAGTTACTTAACTGCACACCTCAGGATTCATGGATACCTTAAGGATCAGTGAGATACTTATTCAGCAAAACATCCTGCAAGGGCCAGAGTTCAATAGGTTGTCAGCCCGAGGTTAGTCCCCATCTCTCTCAACCTCCCATTGCCCACCTACCACCTCGATGTTAATAAAGCAACATCGGTTTCCATCCAACTTCAGATGATGCATAGATTTTATGAATCAGGAAGGTTCAGAATCAGAAGGTCAGATGGATTACATGTGGGTGCCAGGTTAAGAACCTGCCTGGAGCACTCTAAAACCCAAAGGATAACCACTAAAATCTAAAATAGTTTGCACTGTCTCATATCTGCCTATGTTACTGGCTGTACTAGTTGTCCATTGCTGTGTAACAAATTACCCCAAAACTTAGTGGCTTAAAAGCCAGCACAGTTTATCATTTCATTGTTTCTCTGGGTTGAGAATCTGGGTGTGGCTTAGCTGGGTCCTCAGCCTCAAGGTCCCTCACAAGGCTGCAAGCAAGCTGTCCGGGGGGCTGTGACCATCTCAAGGCTGAAATGGGGTTGGATCCGCTTCCCAGCTCACTCACATGGTGGCTGGCAGGACCCAGCTCCTCACTGGCTGCTGGCTGGAGGCTCCTCAGTGCCATGCAGCATGGGCCTTTCCAAAGGGCAGCTCACAGCGTGGCAGTTTGCTTCATCAGAATGAGCTAGTGAGAAAGGAAGAGACAGAATGTGAGCAAGATGGAAGTCTTTTATAACCAAATCTCGGAAGGGGCATCCATCACTATTTTATTCTGTCCATCAGAAGCAAGTCACTGGGTCCAGCCCAAGCTCAAGGGCGGGGATTCCACATGGGCATGAACATCAGAAGAAGGGATCACTCGGGGCAGGGAGGTGCCAATTGGCTTTTGGAAGTGCCAAGCGAGGTCCTGCCTCATCCACCCACCTCCACTTCCAGGCTCCAGACATGGGACCTGTTTCCTTCCAGGAGCAAGCCCAACTCGTTCCTCCCATGGGGCCTTCGCTTGTGTAGTTCTGTTTTCCTGGTGACTCTTTCCTCTCTCCCCTCATAGTTCTACTCATTTTCAAAGTTCATCCCCAACCTCATTTTTTCCAAGAAGACTTTCCTGGACGCCCTGCTTCTGAGTCACAGGGAGGAGGGGTGCCTGAAGCCCTGCTCAGTCCTGGGCAGCCCCAAAAGGTTGTCTTCAAGCAGTAGCCTGCACCCTGACTGTTCAACTCCCGTTCCTTGTATGGTTTACTGTGTTTGGACCTTTAGCTGTAGTTGTCATCCTCGACCAGAGAGATTTTGGATGTAGTTCACGGATTCTTGGCGTGTCGTGCCAAACTGCCCCGGCAGTCAGAATGGAGGAAAGAGATGGACCTTATTTCAGGCAAGGCCCCAGCTCGGGCATGTTGGTTTTATCATCTGAGTTCAGTCCTGTGCTTGTAGAAAGTACAATTTTCAGTCCATAAACTCAGGTGTGGGGTAGATCTAAATATCTCTATCATAATTGAGCTCAGTTCCTATTTGAGCCTTCGTTCAGCCCAGATAGGTAACAGATCAGTCTCGCCTGATCTGCTCCTCCTTCTCCCAGAGATTGCATTTCTGTGTGGTGTACAAAGGTGACAAAAGGATGACCACCTGCTTTCCCATGCCACCTGTCCCTAGCATTTGCCATTCTGGGTCGTGGGTCAATACAGGTCACCATGGAGCTGTCCCTTGTTCCTGCCTGCAACCTATCTCCAGTCAGGTGACTCTGCTTCTGTGACATTCTGGGGCTTACAGGCATCACTGTTTTACTCTTGTTTCTCACAGGATCCGTGAGGCGTCTAAGCCCCGAGTCTCCCAGACGTACTATGTGGCCACCTCCTTTGGTCCTTCCCTCATCCCTAGGTACCCCCTCTTCCTTTCTGTAGTGAGATTCCACGGGCCGTGCCTCTGAGGGACTTTGTCTTTGCCCTGACACCTGGCCGAGAGAGCAGAGACCGAAAGTCCGTTTCCCGGGGACACCGAGAGTCTCAGCACACCCGCCGTGATAACCTTTCCACAGCAGCCTGGGAACGTTCTCTTGGTCCCCAGGCCCGCGGGGAGAGCCTTTGCTCATGATGTCCTCCTCCAGCATGTTTTGGCTAAGCCATGAATTTTTTTTTCAATCTCCTGAGAAACTCATCTCAAAAGCTGAAAAGCCAAGGAAGAGTCATTTTCGTCTCCTTTCTGCTGTCACAGGGAACAGCCTCAACTGACTTAAAGCAGGGAAGGCCAAAGCAGGAAAATAAAAAGCCAGAGGAAACCACAGACCTTCTCAACACTATCTGCCCCTCACATCCGTCCAGTGTGCACTCCGCCATGGGTCTGTCACTGTTCTGGGGGCCAAGGACAAAAACATTAAAACACTCAGCACCAAGGCTGGACGCAGTGGTTCATCCCAGCATTTTGGGAGGCTGAGGTGGGTGGATCACCTGAAGCCAGGAGTTCGGGACCAGGGATCACCTGGCCAACATGGTAAAATCCTGTCTCTACAAAAAATACAAAAATTAGCCTGGTGCAGTGGCACATGCCTGTAGTCCCAGCTACTTGGGAGGCTGAGGCAAGAGAATTGCTTTGACCCAGGAGGCAGAGGTTGCAGTGAGCTGAGATCACACCACTGCACTCCAGCCTGGGTGATAGAGTGAGACTCCATCTCAAAAGATAAAAAGTAAATAAATAAAAATAAAACAAAATGAAGACTTAGCACCAGTCCTCAGAAGTTGCAGCCTAATGAGGAAAAGTGGGGGTCAGGCTTGTAAACAGATTGACAGGCACAGTGCAATAAGAGACACCAGAGGGTATAGGAGCCCAGAGGAGGCACTCCGCGCGGGCTGACCCTCCGGGAGCCCGGGACTAAGCTTGAAGGATGGACTGGAGTTACAGAATCAAGGAAAGGGGAGTTCAGCAGAGGGAGGAGTCCGTCGGAAGGTGGGGAGGTGGGAAGACAGCCTCTGAATGGCCAGTGGTGTGGGTGCGTCTGCTCGAAGGGAGCGCAGGTTGTGTCTCCAGGAATGGCTGCAGATAAGGTTGGAGAGAAGTGGGCAGGAATCAGGTAACAAGACGTCTTGGATGTCAGGCTGAGGCATTTGGATTTTATCTTCAGGAAATGTAGACTCATGGGAGAAGTTTTAAGCATGTGGTGATATGGCAGGCTTTGTGTTTTAGAAAGTTCTTCTTGGGCCAGGGTAGAAGATGGGCTGGAGATAGGGTATCAGTGAGGAGCCTGGGACAGTCATACCAACAAGGCAAGGCAAGGTGAAGCCTGCACTGGGAAGATGGATGGGATGTGCAGGGGATAAATTCCCATATTAGAGGGTAGGGCTGGCAGGACTGGGTGCCTGAGGGGATGTGGGTATCCAGGGCAACTCCAAGTCCTCTAATGGTGCCATTTGCCAAGTTGACAGGATGGACACCTGAAGAGATGGAGGTTGAGGTTCAGATGGAGTGGCTCAAGCCTGTAATCTCAGCACTTTGGGAGGCTGAGACAGGAGAATTGCTTGAACCTAGGAGTTTGAGACCAGCCTGGACAAAATTTCTTCTACTCATCTATATAACTAATTTTTTTTTAAAAAAAATTAGCCAGGCGTGGTGGCACACCCCTGTGGTCCCAGCTACTCGGGAGGATCACCTGAGTCCAGGAGGTCGAGGTTGCTGTGAGCCCTGATTGCACCACTGCACTCTAGGCTGTGTGCCTGGGTGACAGAGCAAGACCATGTCTGGAAAAAAAGAAAAGGGTTGGGAAGGAGGAGATGGTTGGTTTAGTCTGAAATCAAGGCAGGAGCCAGGATCCCATGGATAAGAAACCTCTCCATGCTGCAGTTCTCAGCAGAAGGTTCTGGAGGAGAAACGCCCAGATTGGAAGTACATGCGAGAGGCAGCTGTGGAACTCTAGTACTTCGCAATAGTTGCCATGGATGGTGGTCAATTGGGATGTTTTCAACAAAGAGGAAAAAAAAAAATGCAGCTGACAATGGCCCAAATAAATAAGGCACTAAGATTCACTGAAGAAAAGAGTTCCAGGGCTGGAGTCAGCAGCTCGCTATCCCATCAGGGGACCCACGTTCTTTCTTTCTTTCTGCTTTGCCATCCTTAGCTGCGGGCTTTTGGTCTCCTTGCTAGCAAGATGGGTGGTGTGTTCTAAATTTCAATATTTCCATGAAATAGACCAGTGTTTCCTGAAGCATTACATTTTTCTGGGTCCTACCAGTGTATTAGCTTTGGCACTTGAGGGGACACTTATCTGTAATCCCGATGCAGACACAGTGTGGTGCCTTGCGGTCTTCTCGTAGGACCGTAAAGTATTCAGGAGTCAGCAGGGATATGTGGAAAGAGTCTATCGACGCCACATACACCTCCATTTGAATCTAGCCTTTCTGTGACTATTCAGGAGGTTGTGTCCCCTCTTTGAAATGTCCCTTTCAGTATCTCTGAAGAGTTAGGGACCGTGGGTGTCCAGAAGATGAATTTGTCAAGTGCCTGGCTCGGGCCAGCAGTAGCTCTCTCCTTTATTCTGTCACCACCCTTTCCCTCCATCTCATCTTACTCTTCATAAGGGTGTAGTTTAAAGAACATCCCAGGAGAGGGCTAAGTTCAGTCCCATGAAGTGAACTGCTAATGGGGAATTTCAGGTTGCGGCTGGTGGGGAGAGGCATTGGAGGTGGCTAACGTAGGGAAAATGTGGGCCACTTGGTTACTGCTTTTAAAGCAGCGTTTAAAACTCTGCTCTGTTCATGCAAGGCTCCCCGGTGAATAGAGTTTGCAATTGGGAAGCAACAGAGCGATTTTTTTTTTTTTTTTTGAGATGGACTTTCACTCTTGCTGCCCAGGCTGGAGTGCAATGGCATGATCTTGGCTCACCTCAATGTCTGCCTCCCAGGTTCAAGCGATTCTCCTGCCTCAGCCTCCCGAGTTACTGGGGCTATAGACACCTGCCACCACATCCGGCTAATTTTTGTATTTTCAGTAGAGATGGGGTTTCTCCATGTTGGTCAGGCTGGTCTCAAACTCCTGACCTCAGGCGACCTGCCTGCCTTGGCCTCCCAAAGTGCTGGGATTACAGGCACGAGCCACTGTGCCAGACCACAACAGAGTGATTTTTTAAAAAAAGTGATAGACAACAACCTACGTCATCTTTGGGGTCAAGCTCTCAGAAATAGAGCCTCCCTTGCCCTCAGATGTCTCCATGCTTAACCTGGCAAAGCTATGAGTACGTGTGGAGTTCATCACAGGAGGAGCAGGAGACACTGTCCCGCTCTGCCCTGAGTCAGGCCGCCTGGTGTCCTAATGATTCACCACCGCCTGCCTTGGCCCCCTGCCCACCAGGAGGCCACTACTTTGGGACATTTTTATTTTCCTATGTGGGGAAAGATTGTGACCTCTGTGCTCTGTGTCTCTATCCATTCTGCCTGCCCCAGACAGAGGCAAATGTTCTCTGCAAAGCCCTCCTTTCTTCAGGGAAACTGCGGGGGTGAGGGGGCAAAAGAGGGGAATTCGAGCAGGTCTCAGGCATGCGGAAGCACAGATGATACAGAGGTAGGAACCTCGGGATTCGCAAGGTGCTCAACCAGGCACCATTCATCACTGCCAAAAGCGGCTGTTATGCAAACTAGCTTGACTGGCCTACGGGTTGGTTGAGTTTTAAACCCACGGATTGTACCAAGGCAAAGGAAATAAAAACATTTGACAGATTCTGGGTGGGGCTGTGTGGTTTACACAAACATAGAAGCAAACCATCTAGGGATAGAATGGGTCTCAAATGACAATAGTCACATATATAGTACATATAATACACAGACACATATACAATATATATGTGCTCAGCTTTTGGATATATATGTGGATATCCACTCTATGTATCTGTAAATGTAATGTAATATGTTCAAAATACACCACCATGGAAGGCTCCAAAGGCTGGAGACCAAGCCATCACCCTGGGATTGAAGACAATGTGACGGTTCATTCTCCAGAGTTACCCCACACCTGGATAAGGCACAGCTGGCTGTGGAAGTCATCCACTGAGTTGTGTCACACAGGGAAAATATTCATCCATCCATTTCTTCGTGGAGTCTACAGTTATGTTTTGAGTGTCCATTTAGCAATCAGAGGCCTGGCTTTGAATGGCTTCCCCAGGAATCTGGGGAAACTTGGGTGACTTATTTAATTTCCTTGGGTCTCGTTTTCCTAGTCTAGAAATTGATGTCTATTTCTTGGTCTGGAGAGGATAAAATGAGGTCATAGAGGTGCCTGGCATATAACAGAACGTGGTTCCTAATTATATGTAATACACAATCATGTATTACTTTTTGACACACTTTAGTTGGGCACATATTTTGTGCCAAGTCTTGTGCTAAACACAAAGTATATAGACCTGTTTGATTCATTCATTTCACAGATATTTACTGAGCACCTACTACGTGCTTGACAGACACTGTGCTAGGCTCCCAGGTTGGCAAGGGAGACAGACATTCAAAAAACTACAAATAAGTAGTATAGGCAGTTCCTCCCTCACTGACTGCCAAATCTTCAAAGGATTCCAGTCCTACAGGTTCATCACAGTTATTATTGGCCCCTTCTACAGATGAGAAAACTGAGGCTCAGAAAGGTGGAGAGACTTCTCCCAGTCCCCCAGTCTTAACAATGCATATCTACCGGGGTGCATTTCTCAAGCTTTGAGATAAAGACATCAGGCAAGAAATGGGCAAGAAAATGCACATATACCAGAGGTGTTCCTTCTCCCACGTCTCCAACGTGGGAAGAACATAATTTCGGGACTACTGAGGAGGGGGTTTGAGTAGCAGCAAGAAGTGATGTGGATGTATGCATGTATGTGTGTCTGTGTGTGTTTGTGTGTCTGTACCCATTTCGGTGAGTGTGTAAATGTGTGTGTATCTGTGCCTGTCTGTGTATTTGCATGACTACACGTGGAAGAGAGGCAGGTGTGTTTGTCTCTGTGTGTGTGTGTGTATTCATGTGTGTGTATCTGTGAGTCTGCACATATGTCTTTGGGGATGTGTGGGTGGTCTTTTGTGTGCCTTTTGATATATCTTTCGGTGTGTCTGCGTGTCTCTCTGTGCCTGTGTGTGTGTTGGTGTGTCTGTGAATGTCTATATGGGTGTGCCTCTGTGGGTGTGTGCCATGACTTGTCCCCTTTTCTGTCCTCAGTTGCTTCTGTGGAGCTGATCTAGCTTGTTGTCCTTCAGAACAAGGGGAACTGACAGCGTCAGTGGCTTGAGCTTTATCTCCCAGCCTGCCGTCCTGTCAGAGGAAATGAAGTGCGCTTGGCACAGTCTGCTCCGTAGGATGTCATTCTGGCTGTGACCTGCACATTCCGCTCTCCTAGGTATTTGTCTTTTGATTGCTTAACGAATACCTGCCAAAGATCAAGAGAACATGAATGTGGGTTTGTTTTTTAAAGAATCATAGCTGCATGGAACATTAGCTGTCCATTTTCTTTGCTGTGAACTTGGGAGCCATGACAAAGAGAGAGCTTCGGCTTTGCAGTGGTGAGAGCTCAGTCCAAGTCCCCAGCCTGCCCTTCAAAAGCTGTGTGACCTTGGAGAGGACAGTTCAGCTCTCTGAGCCAAGATTCCTTACCTTATAAGAAGGTTCCTTGGAGGGGCCAATATAACAGTAGATGAAAACATTTTCAGAAATCCACAAAGTCCTTAAATCATAGGATGTCAAGGCTAGGGGGCCCAGAGGGAGGACCCTGGGCTCAGATGTCAGGCAGATGTGGGTTTGGGTCCTGGCTTCTTCCTTTCCTCAACTTATGACACTGAGCAAGTTACTGGACCTCTCCGAGCCTCAGATTGTTCCTCTGTTAAATAGGACAGTATAATACATAAAGCACTGAGCCAATGTGCTGGCCAATGTGAGGGCCCCTAAAACGGGAGCTGTTAACAATTTTAATACCACAGAGGGGCTGATGGCAATATGAATGTCTGCCAACTTTCACACTCGCGGTGAATGTAGCAAATTAAACCTCTGCAAACGCAGGGCATAATGAATGCAGAGTGTGACAGAAGTGATTTACTATCACTCGCTTTTACTATTTCAAGATGCAACCTCAGCACAGTGTTCTTGGCATTACCACATTCTTGGCAAGCACCTTGCGTTTCATCTAGAACTCAGAGGCTGTTCTAGTTGCAGAGAGGAGCTGAGAACAAGGTGGCCTCTAGCCCAGAGTGGTCCAGGCCAGCTGGCCGGGTGGCAGATTCCCTAGTACCTGTCCCCAGTGTCTCCAACTAGATCCTTTCTACATGATGTTCTTCACCTTCAGCAAAACCTCAAATCCCCCTTGTCTTTGAAGATGCTGTTCCCTCTGCCTGGAATATCCTTGGCTGCCACTCGACCCTTCAGCCAATCTGGGCTTGGCTCCAGGTTCCTGTGCCCAGGCTAAGGCAGACGTCCCTGCTCTGTGTCCCCACTGCACCCTGGATTCACCCCACCGTGCATGACGTCCAGGGCATTTGAACCATCTGCTTCTGTGCCTGGCTCCCTCCCAGAGGGTGCCCTCCAGGAGGTCAGGGACAGGGTATCCAGCAGTCCTCGGTGGATGTTTGCAGAGCAAGCACACCAAGATCATTCATTTTTCTGCCCCCACCCCCTACACACCCCCCCTATATTTCACACAGAAATATATTCAGTTCATCTGAACTCATTCTGACAACCATTTGGGTTAATAGAAGATATTTCAGAGAGCTGTGCCGCCTCTGTGGCTGCTGATGTTGGTTTTGAAGCAGATGGGTCTGTCTCCCTGCATCTGCTTGTTTGCAACAACTGCACCACGCAGGCCAGAGGACAAAAGATTCTCCAGCCTGAGTGTCAGGGCTAGCATGTGGGTTTGCCGTGATGGCAGTGGGCATCCATGTGGCTTGACAGCCTCCGTTTTGGAGAGTGGTCGGTAACTCAGCCTCTGGGATTGGACTGCCTGAGTTGCAAGCCTCAGTTCTGCCACTTGCTAGCCCTATGATGTGGGTGAGATATTGAACCTCTCTGTGCCTCAGTCTACTCATCTGTAAAATGGGGGTGTGTAATAGTACCTACTTGCCCTGCTGGGTTTTTGTTGGAATTAAATAAGATCAGTTCCTGGTGTAGAAAGAATATTTAATGAAGTTTAGCTAGCATTACTATTGTGTTGCATTTGTACCCAATGGTAGTATCAGACCAGGACCTCCACTCTGACTGTAACAGAGATTGAGCGTCTGACTAGACACCCTTTCTCCATCCTCCCAGGGCCAGTTTCCCCTGCTAGAAATTGCAGGGCAATTTCAGGTGGATCTTTTTATGATCATGTAAGCATCCTCAAGGAGAGATAGATAGTCCCTCTCTGTCTGAGAAGTGTTCTTGCTTTTCTCTCACCTAATAGCAACCTGGCACACCCAGTTGGCAGTCTACTTGGCACTTTTCTTACCTCATGGTATAGTACAGGGATCAACAAATGACAGTTCTAGGGCCAAATCTGGCCCCTTGCCTGTTTTGTTAAATAAAGTTTTATTAGAACACAGTTCATTTATGTGTTGTCTCTGGCTGCTTTAGCAGTAAAATGGCAGTGTGGAGTTGCTATGACAGAGACCATAGAGCTTGAAAAGCAAAAAGTATTTTCCATCTGGCTCTTTACAGAAAAAATTTGCCAACCCCTTGTGTAAAAGTAAAGGATTAAGGGTTTATTTGGTTGAGCGAGACAGAAGCCTGAGCACGATTCCCACCGCTTTGCTCTCCCTCAGCCCTGACACTGGTTGGCCACCAGGTTACTTTGCCTCGTTCTATCTCATGCAACTAATCTCCCATCGCTTCCTCAAATGCCACTACCCCGTTCAGCCCTGTCCCAACTCCCATTGACTAGCACATGTCAGGGCTACCACCATCCTGTAAGGTGTCTGTGGGTGAATGAGACAGAGACAACCCTCTGGGCAGATGAAGCTCCATGTCACACACTGGTGTGCTGGGCAGAAACCCCATGACCCTGTCGATTATGCCCAGTGAATGACAGACTTTGCACCCATTGGCCAGGTTTATTGATTACACTGTTTCCTAGCCTTGAGTGTCTCCCTGTCTGGATGTCCCTCTCCTGCTCAAATTCCTTCACACCCACTGCCCTCAGGAAAAGCCCGTGCTTTTGTGTGTGACATTGAAGGCCTGTTGTGATCTGGTCTTTGCCAGCCTCATGTGTCACCACCTGCTCAGCCTCCACCACACCTGAGCACCACTCTACAATGGGGGAGCCCTGGACCCTAGGCCTCCATGCTTGCTCATACTTTGCGGATTGGTATATGGTTGTTCTTCATGAATTATTCTGCCCTTCTTCTTCATCTGCCAAATTCCAAGTCATCCTTCAAGCCCCAACACAAGCGTCTCCTCCCTGTGACACCCTTCCTGATTCTCTGGGAGGACTTGAGCACTCCTTCCAGGGTTCACTTCAGTTTCCACAAACCATGGCTCACAGCTCATAAACGGGTCAGAAAATTGGGGTAATGGATCTTGGCCAGCACCTTTTGAAAGATGAACTAGATGAGAAAATGTAAGAACACATCACTCTTTATTGTGTGGTTCCAGCATAGGATGAAGAACACTGGCTCTGAAGCCAGACTGCCTGGGTTCCAGTCTGGCTCTATAGTTATCGGGTGGTGCTAAAGTAATGGCGGTTTTAGCCGTTTTAAAAAGTAAGGCAAAAACCGTCATGACATTTGCCCCAACCTAATATTAGCAATGACCTTGGTAAGTGACTTAATCTCTCTGTGTCTCCAGTTCCTCATCTGTAAAACAATGATAATAACAGTACTTTCCTCATGGTTTCTCATGAAGATTAAGTGAAAAATGTATATTACATTAACATATATAAACATATAATTTATATCATACATATGTGAATGTGTGTGTATGTATGTGTGTGTGCATATAAATATATATATGTATCTTACAAGAGTACCTGTTTAGATAGGCAGTGCTATAATCATGTTAACTAGTATGTATGCACACGTGTGTGTGTGTGTGTGTATGTATGTACGGTGATACGTGTGTGTGTGAGAGTGAGAGAGAGGGAAGAGAGAGAGAGAGGGGAGAGAGAGAGGGGAGAGAGGGAGGGGAGAGAGGGAGGGGAGAGAGAGAGAAAGCAGGGGAGAGAGAGACAGAGTGGGGGGGAAAGAGAGAGACTCTAGTTTATGATAAACATTATCTGGAAGCCTCTAGTCTGGCTGGAATATATTCTGACCCATATTAAAGCAATTATTTGAACATATTATACATATTGTAAATTTTGCTTTTCACTCTCCTCCACTAGACAGGGAGCTCCTGGAAGGCAGCAAGTGTGTTTTACTTATCTCTGCATTCCAAGTACCCAGCAGTATGCTTCGCAGATGTTTCTGGAATAAATGAGAAAATGAGTCCTAAATCCTGAAGCCGAAGGACCACGGGGTCTCCTCCTGCAACTGCAGGGGCCAGGATACTCCGTTCCCCGCCTGCCTCCCTCCCCCTTCTCCTGTGAGACACACTCCAGGTTCGTATGGGATGCAGACGCCTTTCTCAGGATATCTGGTCTCCACAGTGAGAATACGTGATCACATCTCACTGCCAGGGAGAGGGAGGAAAGCACGAGGGACCCTCGAGCGAGAAATGGAGGCTCCAAACTGACTGGGAGGAAAATGGAAACTCCAGCTGACCTGAGAGATTTCTATAATGAGAGAAAACCAATTTAAATGCAAATAGCCTACGGTGTCGTTGGGGAAAGGCTCCTTGCTACAGAGAAAGGCTGGGAAAACAAACAGCCCTCGTCAGGAGGCTGGTTCACCGTTGGACAGAAAGGTTGCTTTATCCGTTTAGGATTAAAGTCTAAACGAGTGACAGAGTCACATGCACCGCTGGCAGCATTTCCCGGTGCTCCACGGTGCCCATTCTCATGCCTGAGAAATGGGTGTCCTCGAAGGGACCTGGCATTGGCCACCGACATTTCCCGAGCCCCTAGCAGGCGGCAGGTGCTGTACAAGGCACGGAGAACAAAAGCTGTACCATACACAGCTGCCTTGAGGGGCTCACAGCCTAGGGGGCCGTTAGACTCTGAAGTCGATTCTGGGCTGCAAAGAGAACTAACAGTTTATTGAACATTTACTATGTGCCAAGCTGAGGACCGAAAACTTTATGTGATGAAGGCTTATCAAATTCTCACAGCAACTCCATAACGAAGAGCCTATTATTTTTCCAGTTTTTACGGATAAGGAAACTGACGTTGCAGGGGAGTAAAAAACTTAGCTGCGGTTGCTGGGTTTCAGACCCAGGCGGAACGGCTCCGGGACGGTGGCTGGTGTCTCCTTGTGTGCTAGGAGGAGAGCAGCTGCAGAGAGGACCCTGGGGTTGTGCTGCCTGACCCTGGGTTCTCTCTGGACACTGGGTGCCCGTCCAGAGAAGTCCTCTGTAAGGCAGAGCTGCCCCAAATCAGGAAGCCCTGGGACAGGGTCTACCACTGGCCTTGGCTTGGGGTAGCAAAAAATAATACTGTTGGAGGAATCAGGACGAGTGAGTTGCTCTGCCACTAACCAGCTGTGTGACCTTCACAGTCACTCTCCCTCTCTGAGCCTCATTTGCCTATGTAAGATGAAGATTCTAAAATTATTTGGGGCTACAGAATTCTATTATCTTAGGACTCCAGCTGCCCTTGAAAATAGCCATTGCCCGGTTGATACAGCACCTCCTTCCTGCCCTTCTTTCTGCCCCACCTCCTGCCCTCTACCCCGGCTGGCCCATATCTGTTGCAATGGAGCACTTTAATTTCCGCCTTTGGTTTCATAATTCAAGAACAGCACCATCTGCCACATTAAATCCACGCTCTCTGCTTGCCTCCTTCTCAAAACAAGGGCTGGATAAAGGCTTCATCCGGTTTATTTCATGGATGGAACAAGAGCTGGCAAAACCAAATGGGGACAGCTTTGGCCTTGCAAGCTGCATTAATCCCCTAATCTTCTGGTAGGGCCCCAGAGCTCGTTCTGTCGTCCCCACTGCCTGCCCCAGCCAAAACATGATGCTGCTGCTGAGAGATGACGTTTACAGAGACCTTTCTGAGTCAGGCACTGTCTTAAGTGCTGTAGATTCGTCTATTCACTTCTAACTACATCTCTGTGATGAAGGGGCTGACCATAATGCCCCCACTTTAGAGATACAGAGACTGAGGCCTGGGAGGCTTCAGAAATTGGCCAAAGGCCCGCACAGTCAGCCGACAACAAAGACTGAATGTGAACAGGCTGCGGAAATAAACACAGACACGTGAAGACAGCCAGCCTGAAAGAAGCCGGACTTCACAGCCAAGCTCTCTGACCATTGATTTTTGAAAAGTTGAGGCTGGGCACAATGGCTCATGCCTGTAATTCCAGCACTTTGGGAGGCCGAGATGGGAGGATTGCTTGAGCTCATGAGTTCAAGACTAGCCTGGGCAACATAGAAAGACTCAGAGACCCTGTCTCTACAAATAATTTTTTTTTAAAATTAGCCAGGCATGGTAGTGTACACCTGTAGTCCCAACTACTCAGGAGGCTGAGACAGGAAAATCGCTTGAGCCCAGGAGGTTGAGGCGGAAGTGAGCTATGATTGCACCGCTGTATTCCAGCCTGGTTGATGGTGAGACCCTGTCTCAAAAAATAAAAAAGTAAAGTAAAAGAAAACTTGAGGTCATATTTCTTTATTCAACATTCTTGCAACACATTTTTACTGAGCAGCCTGCTGTATGCCGTGTGCTACTCTCCATGCGGGGGAGTTCCCCACGAGCAAGGCCCATGGGGGTCGCTCTCATCAGACCGATCTAGTCCACAAGACAGGCACCAAGCCAGCAACTGAACAAGCAGGCAGGATCATTTTAGGCTGTGACAAGGTGTCACAAAGGAAATACAGTGGGGGGCATGAGAGAAAGAAACGGGTGATGCTCAGGGAAGCCTTCCTGAACGGGAGGGTCTCTGGGCTGAGGGGATTGCGCCTTACTGCAGGCTTTCCCGACCTTGGCACTGTGGATGCTGTGGATCCCATAACTCTTTGTTGGGGGATTGTCCTGTGCATTATAGGATGTTTAGCAGCATCCCTGGCCTTTACCCACGAGATGCCAGTAGCGTCCCATTTTCCAGGGTGATAACCAAAAAATGTCCCCAGACATTGCCAAGTGTTCCCCTGGAGGGCAAAACCACCCCCACTTGAGAACCCCAGAGTCACAAGACCGGCAAAGCAGCAACATGGGATGAAGGAATAGCCAGGCGGGCTGCAAAGTTGCTCAAAGTGTTTGAGATCCAGGAAGAAGGTCGGTTTGGCTGGAGGGCAATGGGCCAGGGAAGGATGGCAGGATCATCATGGCCACGTGCTCTGTAAAACTCTCCAGAAAGTGCTCAGCAAAATTCATGGAGTCTCTTGGCTGTGCCAGGCATTGTACTAGCTGTGCCCGAGGACTCAGCACATGCTCCAAGGTGATAATAGTCAGGGTGGCTGGGTAAGACAAAACAGCTGTCAGCCTCGTGCTATCCATGGTAACAGAATATTCTGGACTAAAAGCAAGCAGAGAAGCACTCCAAGGGCAGTGACCACGGTGTAAGAGACCCTGGAGAAGGCAATGTCTGGGCCCCTTTTTGAAGAGGAGAGAGCAGGCAGCCGTGGCCGTCACCTTCCCAGCACCTGCCCCTCCATTACCCATAGCAACTGCGCGTCCCCATGCCCAGCTGCGCACGGTTTTGATGGAATTTCTAATCATGGTGCTCCGTTAGACTGGCCAAGGGGCTGGCATGAGACCCAAGCTTGGCCGTCATATACTTTCTTCCTGGAATCAGGATATTGGCCAGAGAAACCCAAGGGCATTGAACGGCCAGAGTCAATTTTTCTAATGGAAGTGGAACAAAGCATGTTCTTTTGTTCTGGCATTATTTTTTGACTATCTCAACTCCCTAGGATGCAATTGTTTCTCTCTCTTCCTAGGCCTATTTTTTCAGCTTTTCCTTCCAAATCCCTTTCAATACCCCTCTATTTAATTCACCAGAGTGGGTTTCTAATGTTTGAAACCCCAGTTAAAATAGAAACAGCATAATGTGAACAGGGACAAGAGAGTGGAGGTTTCTAATTCACTGTGCTCATCACTTCACAATAAATAAGCTGTGTGTCCCCCTCTCTCCTAGTTACAAGCAGGGTGCTTCACCAAGGCCTGACTGTGTCTTTTTCTCTTCATTTCCACAGTGCCCAGCTCAGGGTTGACTTCTCCTTTGCACCTGCCATGGTTTGTAATTATGCATTTCTTTGTGGGGTAATTTGTTTAATGTCATCTACTCTCACTATGTTGGAAGTCCCAGGAAAATAGAATGCATGGAGCCCCATTTATTAGGATGGCCAACTGTCCCAATTTGCCTGGGGTGGGGTGGGGAATTCCTGAGACATGACTTCCAGGGCTAAAATCAGGAAAGTCCAGGGCAAACTGGAACAGTGTCTGTTCCCTACCAGTGTCTGGCATACGGGAAGCCTTCAAGCACCAGTTGTCCCAGTCACTCAAGGAATATATGTTGAGATGAACGGAGGCAAACTGCAGCACAACAGAAGGCGTATTCTTTCATGCAAAAACGTTTCTTCATGCCTGCTGTGTGCCAGGTAACCAGCTTGTCAGAAGCAGAGGACTCAAGGAAGGAAATCCCAGCAGCCAGGACTGCCATAGGATTGTAGGTTGAAATTGTGTTGCATGGGGTCTTGAGCATCAGGCTAAGAAATCTGCGTGCAGCACCCAGGTGAGGCAGGTCCCCTCTGACTTTGGAGAAGGGAGGAGATGCGAAAACAGAATAATTTAGGAATGATGCATTGGCAGCTCCTCCCAGAGACTCTGATAAGGAAACCACTGCAGGAGGAATCCGCGGGGCTACTGAAACAGAGGACAGAACCTGAAGTTAGCAAGTTATTTGGTTGTTTCTTTCCAAATTCTGCACTGGGCAGAGAGAAGGGTTTAGCAACTTCCTTTTTCATCTCAAGCACAGCCATCTGCTAGTTCAACAAGCAGAAAATCCACCCCCAGGAAACGTGAATTTATTTGTGGGTATGTGATGGATCCTACATCTTTACTCCTTAGGAAGATTTAGCTACACAACCCATGCAACGGGGCCATCCCCTTGATAGGTTTCAACTCTGTTGCTCAGCAGGTGAGAACATGTGTATGTGCAGCTGCTATAGACAGCGTTTTTGTCTGCCTGCCCCTAACCCAGTCTTAGCTAACCCCCAGGCGATGGTATTAGTAGGGAGGCCTTTGGGAGGGGATTAGGTCATGAGGGTGGGGCCCCGTTGATGAGGTTAGTGCCCTTAGAAAGAGACCCCAGAGAGCGGCCTGGCCTCTTCTGCCATGTGAGGGCACAGCAAGAAGGAGCTGTCTGTGAACCAGAAAGTGGGCCTCGTCAGATTCCGAACTACCAGTGCCTGATCTTCAACTTCCAGCTTCCAAAACCGCGAGGAATACATTTCTGTAGTTTACAAGCCACCCAGTCTATGGTGCTATGTTATGGCAGCCTGGATGGACCAAGACAGCAGCCAAACGAACTTTTGGATGGGGCCTCACAGACTTTCAGGGCCTGGAGATCCTCCGAGAAGAACATCTCTCTAATTCAGCTCCCTCGTTGCAAAGCAGGGAAAGAATCTTATTTGCATGATATAATAAGCAAGAAGCGGGGGCTGGACTGCTCTCTCTTTAACTCTTCTCAATAAAGAACTGAATCATGTAATAGGGAGCCCCTTGCCCCTGGGGAGTAGGAGAAAGTGAAAAGACAGGGAAACAAATAGATTTCACCGTGTGGTAAGAGAGTTTTTCTCCTGTGAAAATTCTCTTTCAATCCTTCTCATTACACCAAGAAGAAAATCTCACTTTGGTACTAATAGGTCTTTAACACCTCCCTCAAACTTTAACACCTCTCCAAATCTCCCTTTCAAATGGGAATCAAACAGGCCTCAAGCCCAGAGTCTTCCACAGGCAACCCTATTCCTCTAGAATGAAATATTCTAGAATTTCATAATATCGTTTTATTTTCTTGGTCTATCTTTTTATGGATAGCTTCTATTTGTAGCAGGTGGGATTGGCTTTCCATCTATGGTAGTAAGTTTTCCTTTTGAAGAAATGTATTTTAAGTTTTAAATGGGAGACAAGTTAAGGAAAAATAATGAGGGAGAGACTAGACCACATGGTATAGCAATAGCAAAATTATCAGTGGACCTTAAACCGTTGAAGTTTGAAAACAGGAGTGGAGGACAGAAGGATGGGGTGGTGACCCTGGGGCCACTCACCAGAGCAGGCTCCGCACATGTTATTAAGCAAATGTCAAGCCTGAAATTTAAAAGGTGGCTCTTTAAATGAATTAGAGTCAGAGACGCTGGAAAGTGCCAGGAAATTCTTCACGTGACCTTGAACAGACAGAAACCTCCTGAGATGAGAGAGTGCAGATCTATGATTTGACTTGGCAAAGGACCCCGCTGGTGAACAGGGGTGTCCCTTCTCTAAAAAATGATGTGCAGTGCATTTCTGTATGTTTCCTCTGAATAACCACTGAGGCACCGGCAAGGGGAGTCATGGGCGCAGAAGGGCAGCCGCAGCAGCCACCACCTATCGAGACCCCGCTCAGCTCTGCCTGTGCTGCCAAAAACCTCACCTCACCCTTTCAACAGCCCTATCGTGCTAATGCTAGTAGCCTCTGATGCTTATGGAGCACACGGTATATGCCAACACCTCTTCAAAGTGCTCATTCATTCATTTAGTCCAAACGGCAACCCGAGGAGGCCATCATGATTACTCCCACTTTACGGATCAGAAAACTGAGGTGGAAAGGGTAGGTCACAGCTAGTGGTCGAGGCAGATTCAAACCCAGACATTCTGGCCCCAGAGCCTACACTCCAACTTTGTGGAGGGGACTGACAGAGGAGGATGCACAGCTACTAAATTGTAAAGTTAGCAAAACCATCCTTCCAAAGGTAGCATTTCCCCCGAAAGCAAGCTATTGCATTAATTCAACAAATGTTTGTTGAGCATCTACTATGTGGGAAAGACCCTTCTTTTTGTTCCAGTCATCTGCAGCTGGGGGCTCTAGGTTCATCCCTGCCTTCCCCCAAGCAGGAGAGTAACCCCGTAGACTTCTTGTTAGGGACCCTGGGGTCTCTGGGTGAATCTGATGCAGACTCAGCCATCAGCCTGGCTGGGCCACAAAATCAGGAAGCTTGGACCAGTGCTGTGGAACCTTGATTCCTGTCCCAGTTTTGTCATTTCCTGCCTCAGCCTCTTTGCAGCTCCCAGCCTCGATTTCCTCACCTCCAAAATGGAGGTCTTAATTACAGTGGTCTGGCTTCACTCACAGGGTTATTGTGAAAATCAAAGGAGATTGCGCAGGGAAAAGCCTCTTCAAACTGGAGCTCCAGGTGATGGTCGTCATCTGTCCGTGTTGCTCTCTGATGAGTCCTCTAAAAATAGAAATTACTGTTTGTTTCCAATTACAAAAGTTCAAGAGTTACAGAATAGCACACAGATTTCTAAACATGGTTTATTGTCCCGCTACTTGTTAATAATCTCTAGTAACCTGTTGGTGTATTTCCTTCTGGATACATAAAGTTAAAGGCAGTTGACCCCTGAACGATATGGCAGTTGGCGTGTTGACCCCCCTCACAGTTGAAAATCTGCATACAACTTTTGACTCCCCAAAAACTTAATTACAAGTAGCCTACTGTTGACTGCAAGCCTTACTGAGAACATAAACAGTCAATTAACATATTTTGTATGTTATATGTATTGTATATGGTATTCTTACAATAAAGGAAGCTAGAGAAAAGAAAATGTTATTGAGAAAATCATAAGGAAGAGAGAGTATATTTATGTTCATTACACAGAAGTGGCTCATCATAAAGGTCTTCACCCTTGTCATCATCATCTTGAGTAGGCTGAGGAGGAAGAAAAGGAGGGGTTGGTCCTGCTCTCTCAGGGGTGGCAGAGGTGGAAGAAAAGTCACTTATAAGTGGACCTGTACAGTTCAAAGCTGTGTTGTTTGAGGGTCAGCTGTATAATGATTGCCTACTTAGAATCCAGTAGCTTTCCACAGCACTTGGAAGGAAATCCAAACTCCTTATCAACACTTCACCTTGACTTTCAGTCTCTGTGTCATTTGGCCCTGCTTGCCTCTCCTACCTCTTTTCTCTGTACTCACACATTATTTCTCTTTCGTTTTCCCCTCCTAATACACCAATGGCTTTGCCCCTCTAGGCCTTTGCCTCTTTGCCTGAAATGCTTTGGATTTCATGACTCTGGAAATCATGACTGGATTTTTTTTTTTTTCAGTGTGCAAGTCATGGCCGAAATGTCACCTCCTTGGATAGTCCGTCCATCTTCATGCACACTAACTAGTCCATCTTACATGCCTTTCTTCATGGCATTGTGTGCAATGCTCAGAAATTATCTTGTGTGTTCTTAAGTCTGTATGTTTATTGCCTGTCTTCCTCCAGACAACTTCCCACCCTGAACTTGTTCCTCTTCATATCCCCATTACCCAGAATGGTGCTTAGCTTATAGAACATCTTCATGACATAGTTAATAAGTGAATGAATTGGATTAATATACTTGTGAGCTGGGATCATACTATATTTAATGTTTATATAACTGATTTTCCCCTTACTATGATGTGACCACCTTGACTTTGAATGCAAGTGTAGCATTCCCTTGTATGGGTGGATCAAAATTTGTTTTTTTTCCTATTTTTTTGAGGCTGAATCTCACTCTGTCACCCAGGCTGGAGTGCAGCAGTGTGATCTCTGCTTGCTGCAACCTCCACCTCCCAGGTTCAAGGGATTCTTGTGCCTCAGCCTCCCGAGTAGCTGGGATTACAGGCACACACAGGCTAATTTTTGTATTTTTAGTAAAGATGGGGTTTCACCATGTTGGCCAGACTGGTCTCGAACTCCTGACCTCAGGTCAGGGGGGATCTGCCCCCCCGCAGCCTCTGAAAGTGCTGGGATTACAGCCATGAGCCACCGTGTCCGGCGTGGATCGTAATTTTTTTAACTAAACCCCCATTACTGACTAGGTGGGACATTTCTGATTCTTGGGTTTGTAAGTTAATATTACATTCTACAGTGACCATCTCTGTCCATACACACATTGTCTCATCTCTCATGAGAGATGTCCCATGACCATTTCCCTCGGATTAATTCCTAGCAGTAAAATTGTGGGATCAAAGGGTCACATCGTTTTAATCCTCTTTATATATATTACCATGGTCTGCAGAAAGGTTGTATCATTTCTGAGTTTGCTGTAATGACCCTTAGCTTGTGGGCTTCTTAGTGGAATGCTCTGAAGACCATGGAAATATCATTCTCCTCTTACCCGGGAGAGTAAAGGTTGAGGCTCTCCGGCAAGACAGACCATGCCCACTTACTCTGCAGAAACTTCCTCCCTTTCCAATAACAGGAACAACTCTCAGCTCTGCTGCTGAGGCCCAATGTGTGATACACAGGAATCCCCTAAGCAGTGATGTTCCGAAGCTAGAAGTCACTCCGGCCAGGCTGAGGAGCTTATCATTCTAGAAGCTAACACCAGCCAGCCAGACTGTGCCAGCTCAACCCTCCTTCTTTTGCTCTCCAAAGCACACCTTGCCTTGGTCACCTGACCTCCACTGAGCTCGGCCCATATTTGGCCAAGCCAGATGGGCCTCTGCTCTACGTGCCTTTGCTTTGTGACCTGCTCCACATCATTTTTCAAGGTCTAGCTTTCCTCCCCAACTTCATTTTCACCTTCTAGAAAGCCCCTTTTCATGGTACAGGTCTCAGGGATCCTCTCCCAGCCCAGAACTGCCCATAACTATTATTACCAGCCTCTCCATCAGCATTTGACCGTCTCACCACTTTGTGCTGTTTATATACCTTCGTGCGTGAGTAACTCTAAATTTTCAACTGAGTGTTTTTCTCTCTCTGGGAGCTCACGCATAGTGTGACTGTCTGAACCTTTGAGAAAATCAGGGCTGGGATTGAGTCTCGACTAGCTGCCACCCACTAGCTCTGTGCATTTGGGCAGCACAGTCAAAGCTTCTGAGCCTCAGTTTCTCCATCTATAAAATGGGGGTTACTATAGCACGAATTTGAAAAGATTACTCCAAGCATTCAATGCATGCAAAGTACTTAGCGTAGGGCCTCCCACAGAACGATTATTAAAAAATCAGCAGCATGCCGGGCGCGGTGGCTCACGCCTGCAATCCCAGCACTTTGGGAGGCTGAGGCTGGCGGATTGCCTAAGCTCAGGAGTTCGAGATTAGCTTTGGCAACACGGTGAAATCTCGTCTCTACTAAAATACAAAAAAATTAGCCATGCATGGTGGTGTGCCTCTGTGGTCCCAGCTATTTGGGAGGCTGAGGCAGGAGAATTGCTTGAACCCGAGAGGCAGAGGTTGCAGTGAGCCGAGATGGTGCCACTGCACTCCAGCCTGGGCGACAGAGCGAAACTCCATCTTTAAAAGAAAGCAACAAAATGGAGATATTCGTCCTAATTTTGTTTTTCTAGACCTCTACAGAGACTGAGCCAGTAATGTGTACAATGCTAAAAGAAATATTTGCGGAATGGAATGAGCGGATGTTGTGTAAACACTCATTGTGCGTGTATGTATTTAGTTATACTAACTAGAACCCTGGGGGACCAGAACCAGTTACCCCAGTATCTAGAGAAGAAGAAAGAAATCTCTCTCCTTAGCTGAAACCTTACTAAGAGCTCAGTCCAGAGCTTGCTTGAAAGTAAAGATATGTCATCCAATTTAATCCCCACACCAACCTCACAGAAAGATCTTTTTATATCCCTATGCTAAGAAGACCTACCACTGACGGTGCCAGATCTGTGCAAGATGCTTTGGAAAAATGTAATTCCCTTTAAGCCCTCACACTATCTCAATGAGACAAGAATTATTATTACTGAAGAGGAAACGGGGTCAGGAAGTTTAAGTGAACTGCTCAAGGGCAAATGGGTAGTAAGAGAAGAAAGAAGATGAGTCAGGATTGAACAGAGGTTTACTCTGTTCAAATAAATAAAATTAAATTAAAACGGTTGCCCCTTCACCACCTGATTCCCTGACATTCTCACATGGGTTCAGTTGGTGCTTAATAGGAGCTGAACTGAAATCTCATGGTGATCTGTTAGAGACTTGGATCTTCTAATAGATGCTTCAAAGGGAGCAGTTTCTATTTCCGGTGCCTACGGAGATCTCGAGGGAGATTTCTCCCCACCCCTGCTCTGGCGTCACGATGTTCTTGTTTTTCTCTGGGCCCTGTGACTCAGCACATGGCTCCAGATGGCTTCCTGCATTTCCAGCCTTGTTGGCTGGGGTGCCCAGGCCCTGGTACAGTAAGCAAACCAAAACTAAGTTGCAACAAAGCGTCGACGTCTCCCCGTCCCTGCCCTCTGTTATGAAGACTTTGTGGTCCACAACTCATGGTGGCCGGTCCCTCCATGGCTGCCCTCCCTGAAAAAGTCTCCCTCCCTCCTTGCCCTGAGATCCCCACAGTTGGCCCCAGCGCATCTGATGCCTGAAGATGAGATCCGGGAGTGATCATTCTCCCAGCAACCAGTGAAAGGGCGAAGGCCCGGTTCTTTCACCCTTTGATCCATTATTGACTTTAGGCAATTTACTTTCTCAGCCTCAGTGATCAATTGGGGACGCTAATATTGTCTACTTCTGAGAGTTGTAGAATTAGGGTTGCCAGACAAAACACAGAAAGTCCAGTTACATTTGAACGTCAGATAAATGATGATTTTTTTCAGTACAAGCATGTCTCAAATACTGCTCACATTTAACTGTGTGTCTCATGATTGTATTTGTTAAATCTGGCAACCTTATGTGGAGTGTGGCCTGAGATAACAAAGGCACAAATGCTTTGTCACCTACGGAGAGCTGTGCACTTCATGATAACTTTTCCATGAGACGTATGCGTGTGCACCCACAGCAATCAGCTTTGTCTGGAGCATAGAACAGACAGTTTCAGGCAGGTGGTGGAGAATGTGTACCACCTGAGTCTATGAATTGAGATCCCTGGGTCTTGTTTGCCAATGGACTGATCTTCGGACATTTCACTTCTGAGCCCTCAATGCTTTCATCTTGAATTCTCTCAAATGCTTGAATTAAAAATATAGAAGCAACAGACACCCAAAACGTTGCCTATTACTGATTAACTGGCATGTGTCATAGACCAAATCTCCTTTTGATTTTGTGGTTAAAGAAGAAACAAGTAGAATAATTTATAAGTGTAAATTCTTATTTATTACATCCTTTATTATGTAATAAAGAATGTATGTGCACAACATTTAGCTCTAATATGTTCTAACAGCCCTGCTTAACATAGAAAAACAAAGGGAACCAGCATACTATAAATAGACTACAGTGTTTATTTTTGATTTGGGGTGTCGCCTCCTACTTAGAAATCTAAATTCTGTGAGAGGAAAGATTTTTGCCTGTTTTGTTCCCCAGGACTGAGAACAGTGCCTGGCCCAGGAAGGGTGGATATTTGATCAACTGAAACCAGTTTAACTAGCTACATTAAAGAAAAATAAATGCAGTGAGGCACAGAGGTTCATGCCTGTAATCTCAGCAATCTGAGAGGTTGAGGCGGGAGTATCGTTTGAGCCAAGGAGTTCAAGACCAGCCTGGGCAACAAAGCAAGACTCTGTCGCTGCAAAAAAAATAAAAAAATTAGCCGGGTGTAGTGGCGCATGTCTATGGTTCTGGTTACACAGGAGGCTGGAGCGGGAGGATCTCTTGAGCCCAGGATGTCAAGGCTGCAGTTAGCCATGTTCATGCCACTGCACTTCAGCCTGGATGACAGAGCAAGACATTGTCTAAAAAAAGAAAGAGAGAGAAGGAAGGAAGGAAGGAAGGAAGGAAGGAAGGAAGGAAGGAAGGAAGGAAGGAAGGAAGGAAGGAGAAGGGTAGGGAAGGGAAGGGAGGGAAGGGAGGGAGGGAGGGAGGGAAGGAGGAAAGAAAGAGAGAGAAAGAAAGGAAGGAAAGAAGGGAGGAAAAGAAAGAAAGAAGGAAAGAAAAGAAGGAAAGAAAGAAGGAAGGAGGGAGGGAGGGAAGGAAGGAAAAGAAAGAAGGAAAGAGACAAAGAAAAAGAAAGAAAGAAATAGGAGGGGAGGGGAGGAGAGGGGAGTGTAGGAGAGGGGAGTGGAGTGGAGGGGAGGGGAGTGGAGGCAAGGGGAGGGGAGGAGAGGGGAGGGAGAGAGGGAGGAAAAAAAGAAAGAGAGAGAAAGGAAGGAGGAAAGGAAGGGAAAGAAAGAGAGAGAGAGAAAGAAAGAAAGAAAGAAAAAGAAAGAGAGAAAGAAAGGAAGGAAGGAAGGAAGAAAGAAAGAAAGAAAGAAAGAAAGAAAGAAAGAGAAAGAAAGAAAGAAAGAAAGAAAGAAAGAAAGAAAGAAAGAAAGAAAAAGAAAGAAAGAAAGAAAGAAAGAGAGAGGCATGGGAAAGAAACCTTTCTGGAGCTAATCCACCTCCCTTTCTTGCTAAGGTAGAGTCAGAGCCCTAAGTTTTTAGAGCGATTTACACCACTTCCTAACGGGGTCTCCACTAACCAGCGACCCGGTCACTCAAGTGTCCAGTGACCTAGGTTGCTTCGGTATGCCTTTCTCCAAACTCCCCAAAGAGCTGCTGCTGTGTGTTTTCATTTTTTAACAAATGTGCCATTAGCTCCCAAGGCAGTAACGAGTGCCCAGTACCGAGTCTTTGGATTCCATCATTGGCTGGTGTCACCAACAAAAGAAGTGCAGGCCCCTGCAGGGACCCCTCGGAGAGCTCTTGGGGCTTGCCTCTTAGAAGCCACTCTCTGATGGGGAGCCTGACATTATCGCTGACTGGAAGCAGCTTGCCAATTCTTGCTGCTGCATTTCGGTCCCATCACCCCCGTGGCCCTCCTTCACTTCTATGTTTGTTCAGCGGTCACTGTTCCAGCATTCTCCCCGCATCGTTCTCAAAGCTGCCTCCTCTTCTTCATCCCCATCCCCTGCCCTACTCCAGGCTTCCCCATCTCTCCCAGGACTGTTTTATGTCCCTGCCTATAGACTTTGCTTCCCAAATCCATCTTCCCCACTGTCCCAGATAATCCTTTTGAGAACCATGTCTTGGCAGCTGTTGACTTGTCCCACGGCTCCCATTCTATGAGATTTAGGAAGCCGGATGCTCTTCCTAAAATGTTTCCAAGTTTCTCTGTGGGAGATGGGTAGAGATGGGAGCTATATTCTCATGGACATTTCTGGCTTTGAGTGCTCGCTTCCACTGAGTTAGTGTAGTATAGGCATCAGTCACCTTGCATGCATGCGTGCACACACACACAGACAAACACGCACACACATATGCCTATCAGGTGCCATCCAATCACACATCACGCCCACCCAGATGTGGCTTTGGCCCCTTTCCCCTATTTTTCACACCAGAAAGCTCATGCTGGTTGTTTTTGTGAGCATCGGGCTTTCCTGAATATTCCTGGATGGAGAAATTCATATGTCAGCAAGATATCAACTTCAGTGTTTTCAATTATGTACTTTTAAATAAATATAACATGCATGGATTCATTCTCTTCCTTAAAAAATAGGGAGAAGGACAGGATAGAAAGAGATTTGTTAAAGGATACAAAATTACTAGATGGCTAGATAGGATGAAGAAGTTCTAGTGTTCCCTAGCATTGCAGGATGACTATAGCTAGTACATAATATAGTATATAGTTTCAAATAGTTAGATGGAGGATATTGAATGTTCCCAACACAAAGACATGATAAAGGTCTGAGATGATGGATATGCTAATTACCCTGATCTGCTCACTATATATTATATGTATCAAAACATCACTATGTAGCCCATGAATATGTATAATTATCATTTGTCCATTCCAAAGACAAAAGAGTTAAAGCATCAGAGATAATGCCGAGGAGGTGGACCAGGAAAGAGGAGCCTCGTTTCTTGACATCACCATGGAGTCTCCAGCCAGCCCGGGACTGCTTACCTCTTGGGCTTCCTGTTGCAAGATATAAATAACCTGCTACATGCTGGGTGGCTGTGAGCAGGTTTTCTGCTCCCTGCAGCTGACAATGCTATCTGAGACACCCCCACCTGCCACTGAACCTCCCTTGTCTTCCGCCGTCACTTTAGCCTCTTACCAGTCTTTATTTTTCTACCTAGCACTTCATCACTGGCTGACAAGGTATTATTTTTGAATTGCTTACAAGTTGGTCTCTATTTTCCCATGAGAATGTAGGCTCCACGTGGAGAAGGAGTTGGTCTTCTACCCATGTTATCCGTAGGGCCTGATGCAATGCCTGGCACATAGCAGGTGTTTGATAAGTATTTGTCAAATAAATGAATGAATGCAAATTTGATCACCTTCCTCCTCTTTCAGAAGATAAAAATCCAAACTACTCAGATGGGTAAACAAGATCATTCCTGCCCTGGACACTACCCGCTCCACCCACCTTGTACCAAGCTCCATGTCTGTACCCTCTGCTGGGCCTTTGCACAGGCTGTTCTCCTACATGCATTAATTGAGCATCTTCTACGTGTCAGCTGCCATTTTTGGCATGGAGATAACTCAATGAACCAGCCGCTGTGGTGAACACCCGATGGAGCTCAGCAGAAAGGAGAGATGTAGGCCGGCAGTACAGTGTGGCCAGTCACAATACAAGGTGGGATACAGGGATTACGAGCTCCTCAGTGTCTAAGTAGCAAACTCCTATTCATTTTTTAAGGTCCAGCTCCAATGTCCCGTCTTCTAGGAAGGCTTTTCCCAGACCCTGTGTTGGAGCAGATGCTCCTGGTGCTCCCTAAGCCCCTTGGCCTTCTGCTGCCACTGAACTCAGCCCACTCGTTTGTCTTTGCCTGGGTCCTTGTGCACCTCTCCAGGCAGCCTGTGAGCCATAGGGCCAGGAGCCCTGTCTTATTGTATCCGTAGCCCCACGGCCCAGTGCAGGGCTAGACATGGCAGTTTTTACTGGGTTCAGCTACTGACTTGTCCCTTCCTTGGCCTGCTGTCCTCCTCTCCAGCCCCCTTCACTTGCTCAAGTTTCAGGTTTCAGGCTGACTCTGTCTCTCTTTTTCACACTCAGGTCCCCAGACATTTCTTTATCTTGTTCTGAATTAATCCTTCTTCTTTCGAGGGAAGCTTGGGGTGGGGAAGTGACAGCTTTCTCTTGGACTGGCTAGTAAAGTTTAGAGGAAAGGCCAGAAAAAGGTATCCAAACTCTTAGCATTCTTTATTCCTCAGGCTAGGCCCCTCCTTCCCTCCTTGCTTTCTCTGTCTTGCATTGCTGCCCAACCATACTCCCTTCCCAGAATCTGACAGATTCCTCACGCCTCTGCACCTCTGCACCTGCTGCTTCCCTCCGCCAGAGATGCTGTTCCCCCACCATTGCTTCCTGATGAAAGTTGCCACACTCTGTGAAGCCAAGTACCCATGTTACCTTCTCAGTACAGCTCCTCCCATGTCCCCTTCCCCATCCCCAAGCACAACAAATCACTCCCACGGTGCTCTGTGCTTCCTTGGCTGTAGCTGGATCCCATGGCATTCTGGTGGCTCATCCATGGTCACATACTCTCAGATGTGAGCTCCTCATCACCTGGTCAGGGAGAAGTCTGTGCCCAGTCTCTCTTTGTTCTTCCAGTGCTCAGCATAGAGCTTGCCACACTATAGAACCACATAGATGACTGTTGCTTTGGGTGGCTGAGGTCTTAGGCAAGGGAGTGAGAAGGAGTGGCCACCCTTCCTGGTAACAGCACCTTATTTGCCTCTGGGGAACCATCTTCCCCACTTTCCATCCATCTGGCTTGAATGGGACTGACCGAGATGCAGGCAGGGCATATGACCTAAGGCAACCCCATCAGACAGCGCATCCCCTGACCTAAGAGACTGCTCAGTGATGGGCATGTCACCCAAGCCTGGCCCATGAGACCATGGCAACAAAATTAAAGATGAGCTTGGAAATTGAGTGGAGGGCAGATGAGGGCAGGAGGAAAAGGATAAACCAAAACTAGAATTTGTGCCCTTATAGTGTGTCCGTGAAGTCTAAGATATTTGACAGAGTCTGGCCACACTCATGGCTCTGTGTTTCCTAGGGACCAAAGTGTTCTTACCTCACAATCTGCTCTTGTTGTGGGAGGATCACGATTGGGCCTTATTGTTGGCAGTACCTAGAGTCGAAAGAAGCAAGACACGACAGTGAGCTGTGGAGAAAGAGCATGCCTTTTGGAGTCAGACGATCTGAGTTCAAGTCTTAGCTCTGCTACTTACTGGCTGCACACAAGTCCCTTGTCTTCCTGACGCTTGGTGCCTTCATCAGTGAGACATGAAAATTGATTTGTAAGATCACTGTCACAAATAAAACATGCATGCAAATAGCAGTTAGTCATCTATGGCAGGGATTCCGTTGTAATTCTGTGTTGGTAGTCTGTTACAATCATCTAAGGTAGGAGATGTGGAAGTAGATGAGGAGGCTTAAGCTGTGGGACGGAGAGTAAGAATGGAGAGGAAGATAGAATAAATATCATCCAGGGAATATTAGTCCGAAATCTTCTGTTTGCAATTGACAGAAACCCCACTTGAAAGCATGCTTCACCGGGCGCAGGGGCTCACACCTATAATCCCAGCACTGTGGGAGGCTGAGGCGGGTGGATCACAAGGTCAGGAGTTCGAGACCAGTCTGGCCAATATGGTGAAACCCCATCTCTACTAAAAATACAAAAATTAGCTGGGCGTGGTGGCACGCGCCTGTAGTTTCAGCTACTCAGGAGGCTGAGGCAGAAGAATCTCTTGAACCGGGGAGGCGGAGGTTGCAGTGAGCTGAGATTGAGATCACGCCACTGCACTCCAGCCTGGGCAACAGAGCAAGACTCTGTCTCGAAGTAAATAAATAAATGAAATAAAAACGAAAGCATGCTTAAGCAACAAAGAATCAGTCCACACAGCTGAAAAGTTCAGAGATGCATGGCCAGGAGGCTGGATCTCTGCCTAGTACCCCGTTATGGTCCTGCTTTCCTGTGGGGTGACCTGATTCTCCACTGTGCACATGGAGGCTCCAGCTGCCTCAGGTTGGCATATTTGCACAGTGAGTAATTCCTATGGGAAAAGAGAGGGGCTCTTCCCCCAGCATTTCTTACAAAAGTCTTGGAACTGAGCCTCAATGGCCACTCTTCCATCATGCTCCCATCCTAGAGCCCACGGTGGGCACGAGAGATATTCTGATTGACTGAGCCTGGGTCCTTAGTGCTGGGGGCAGGGGGGTTGGGGGGCAGGGAGGAGAGAATCCAACCTCACCTTAACTACACGGAGTGAGAGTGGAGAAGGGGCTCTCTGGGGTGCTGTCACTCAAAGACGTGGGGTATACCAGGCAAATATGAAAAACAGGTGTGTCTTTCAGGAGTTGAGCCGCTCAAGGAAGGTTTGGAAGTGGGAGGCCAGGAAATCAATGGAGTCAGCTTTAACCAGGTGGTTTTGAGCTTGCAGCCCCTGTCTTTGGTCTCCAGCAGGCCTCACAAGCATGACTCAGTGGTGAGGCTGCCGCACATGTGGTTTCGAAACCAACCTTTCCCCTTGGCCCCAGCACTGCGTTGGCGTGTCCCTGGGGCCGGCCCCAGTGCCTGCCTGGAAATGCCCTCGGTTTGGGCCCTGCCTGAGTCTCTGGGAAGGTCTTTGATCTCCTCACCCCAGCTCTTCTATTGGCTTCCTCCTCACCCTGGGACAAAGTCTGGCAATTGCTGAGAAAAAGGCCAAATGCCACCTTGCAATTTGCTGGGTCATCCTGGAACAAGTGCTGCTGGGGCTCCCTGTCCCTACCCAAGCAGAGGAAAGTTCAGGACCGTGGGCAGGTGCCCCCACCCCCAGAAATGAGTAGACCAGGAGGCTGGGCCCGGGGTGCCGGCTGAGACCCTAGGCAAGTGCTTATTTACAGTGATAAATGAGGTCATCATAGTTGCTAAGGTCAGTCCTCCTCGGGCATGTAAATAGCAAATAAGCTCATGATTGGAGAATAGCCTTTGAGAGAGGAAGCTCCTGCATGCAGAAGATCTTTCCTGAGCACCTTCTGCCCTCCATGTCTGAGCTGCACACTGGAACAGAGAGGTGAATAAAATGTAATCCCTACCCCACACTGCTTGCCAGCGATGACAAGAGACAGACAAGTAGCAATCAGCCCACAGTACAGTACACAGAGTCTGTTTATAGGAGGACACTCTGGAGCTTGGGAAGTACAGAGGAGGCATAAAAGGTACAGCCGGGGGACAAGTGGGAGGGACCCAAGGAGCCAGGGACTAAGCTGGCACCTGAAGGAGAAAGCTGGTGGAGTGAAGAAAGGAGGGAAAAGGCATCCATCCTAGGTGGAAGCAGCATTTGCAAAAATGCAGTGGTTGCTTAGGGGACTGTAAGTGGAGCCCAGGGCACCAGCAGAGGCGATGGGAAGAAGGGAAATTAGAGGGAAAGATGGGACCAGTATTCACAAGTTCTTTAACGGGGGCAGCGTCAAGGTCTGGTCCAGATTCATTCCCTCCGGTGCGGATCATTTTCTCAAAAACAATTAAACAGAAACTCACGGAGAGCAAGTGTCTCCCTCCACAGGAAATGGTCTTAGCAAGGACTCGGCACTTCCTGGGAAAGCTAAAGGGATGTGTGACTTTCTGGGAAACCACATCCCAATATTTCCTGCATTCAAACCCCCAGAGCCCCCAAATCAGGCTCGTTTCTAGGAAGTCAAATCAACAGTGGAGGTTTGGACTGTAGCAGCAGCCAGGTGGAAAGACACAAGCCACACAGCCCTGCACACCCGGGCTGGCTGGACAAAGTGGCCGGGCAGATGCACAGGTAGGAAAGCCTGCAGGCACTGAAGGTGCCCCCAGAAGAAAGACAAAACCATCTCTGCTTGTCCCCTGTTTTTGTGATTTGAAACTTATCATTTAGGGGAAGGTGAAGGCCATTTGGTCGTATATTCCCAGCTGTGTGACCTTGGGACTTTCAGTTTCCTCAGCTGAAAAGGTGATGTGAGAATGACCCTAGGTCTAGCAAACCAAACACCTGTGCGAGGAGATGCCCACTCACTCTTTATTCCCAAGACCCTCCTCAGCAAAGCCCGGAGGCGCTCTCTCTCCCCACGCTGGAGACCAGCATGCTCTCCAGACAGCAGGCTCTCCCTGGCAGGGTCATAAACCAAATGTCTCAATATTAAAAGTTTTAAAGCAAGCTAACAAACTGCTAGATAAAGTATGTCATACCTCCTCACGTGATGGCAGAGCCTCCTGCTGACCTAGAAGGCCAGATCAGAATGGCTAGACTCCTCGGAGTTTCACATTGGCATGCGGCAGCTACTTTCCCCATTCTCCATGTTTTCCTGCACCGAGAGAAAAACAGATACCAGGCACTCAGCCTACGTGGCCGAGCTCTAACCAGGTCCCCCAAGCAGCTGCCCTTTGACCAGCCTTCAGGGCTGGAGCACCCACTGGCCATGTGGTCCACACTAGGGAAAATGGGAGAGGTCCAGGAGGCCTCAGAACTGGGCATGGGCATTTGGACAGGGAACCCTAGGGTCCTGGGAACCCAGCGTGTCCTCTGGAAGGGAGGCATGTGGGTTCCTAATGGGCATAGCCCTTTGTTCCCCAAGACTCCTGACTTGCAGGGAGGGGCAGTGTCTGAGCAAGACGTTCCAAAATGCAGGGCCCAGGGCTGGAGCCCCTCTTGCCCTGATCAGAGGGTGCTGGACAGGGAATCGGAGATGCAAGAATGTTAGGTTTTTTTTTTTTTTTTTTTTTTTTTTAAGACTGAGTCTAGCTCTGTCACCCAGGCTGAGTGCAGTGGCAAAATCTTGGCTCGCTGCAACCTCTGCCTCTGGGTTCAAATGATTCTCCTGCCTCAGCCTCCTGAGTAGCTGGGATTACAGGTGCACACCACCACACACTGCTAATTTTTTTGGTGTGTATACTTTTAGTAGAGACGGGGTTTCACCATGCTGGACAGGCTGGTCTTGAACTCCTCACCTCCAGTGATCTGCCCACCTCAGTCTCCCAAAGTGCTGGGATTACAGGCGTGAGCCACCATGCCCGGCTGGAAATCAGCTTTTTGATTTTGCTATTTCCAAGTGAGATCTGAAGTGAGGCCCACAACCTCTCTGGCCCTTAGTCTTCCCCAGAATCAAACAATTTAGTCTCTGCACTTCCTTCTGGCTCTGGCCAGGGTCCTAAAGCTGCTCCTGCCCTTCCTAAGGCCAGTGGGTATGGGTCATCAGCTTCGTAAAACCTTTCTGCCTGGTGCCAGCACCTCCAGGGCTACAATCAGCCTTGGTATTTAACACCTGGACTTCCCTCCCCAGCAGGCCTGGAACTGAAAAGCAAGCAAACGCGTGCAAACCTTTTATTTCTTCCACCTGTGACCTGGGATCCTGAAAGCTGTGGAATCCCGACAAGGCTCACCTGTCCCGGTGTCCAGGTCTTCCAGGCAGGACGGGCCTCCATCAGACCTGTTCACAGGTCTGGCTGGTTCTCCCGAGCTGGGTCCGTCATCAGGATCTTTAAAGAAAATCAATGAATGAAGCAAAATGAGAGGACAGAGGGCTGCTGACTTAGTGCTGGGAAAAGCTGGTATGGGCCTCTAAGTTCTGCAGTGTTCAGAGACAGATAAGGCCTTAGGCTGAATGTGGGGAGAGGAAGGGGACCAGCGGAGGAGGGGACTAATTATTACTGTTTAGTGAGTTTTTCCCGGTGCCATAGTATGTGTTGCTTTTTTTGTTTGTTTTCTTTTTTGAGACAGAGTCTCGCTCTGTCACCAGGCTGGAAGGCAATGGTGCGATCCCGGCTCACTGCAACCTCTGCCTCCCAGGTTCAAATGATTCTCCTGCCTCAGCCTCCCCAGTAGCTGGGACTACAGATGCGCAGCACCATGCCCAGCTACTTTTTTATTTTTTATTTTTGTATTTTTAGTAGAGGTGGGGTTTCACCATGTTGGCCAGGATGGTTTTGATCTCCTGACCTTGTGACGCACCCGCCTCGGCCTCCCAAAGTGCTGAGATTACAGGCGTGAGCTACCGCGTCCATCCGTGTTGCATTTTTTTACCTCTATTTTCTCGGTAATGTAAGGACCTCATAGACCTGTGAAATCCTGTCCTGTCCAAGGCCTCGATTTTGGGAGCCGACATAGGACTGCTCGCTTTTTATCTTGCCATGGAAAGACAGTGTAAAGCAAATATCCACTCAATTGTTTATTCAGTTGACAAACACTTATTGAGGGTCTACTCTGTGCCAGGCATTCTTTCAAGCCTTGGGATACAGCTGTGAACAAGACAGACAAAACTGCCTGCCCTCCTGGGAAGAGCCAGACCGTGGCCCAGGCAGGAAGTAAATCAGAGGTCAGATGGGCTCAGCGCTATGGAGGAAAAACAGGTCAGGCAAGGGAAAGGCACACTGTGGGCTTATGGCAATTTTCAATAGGGTGGTCAGGGAAGGCGTTCTTGAAAAGGAGACGTGTGAGTTAAGTTCTGAAGCTAGTGAGGCAGTGAGTCTTGTGGGTGGGGGTGGGTGGGGGAAGGACTCTAGGCTGAGGGAACAGCAGCACAAAGGCCCTCAGTCCTTTCCACTGAAAAAATCATCATCAAAGAAGGGAACTGGTGAGGTGGCGCATGCCTATAATCCCAGCACTGGGAGGCCGAGGCCAGAGGATTGCTTGAGGCCGGGAGTTCAAGACTGTCTCTAAAAAGCATCAATTAGCCAGGCCTGGTGGTGTGTGCCTATGGTCCCAGCTACAGGCTGAGGTGGGAGGATCGCTTGAGCTCAGGAGTTCAAGGCTGCAGTGAGCTGTGATTGTGCCACTGCACTCCAGTCTGGGCAACCGAGTGAGACCGTTTCTGTAATAAAAATAGAATAATAATAAAGGAAGGATATAATCACAGAATAAGGGCCAGTCCTTCTTAAGGGAGGGCAATTGGTGACCTAGTATGTTGACATATATATACATGCATAGGGAGATACATTAATTTGTCATTAGTTTATGCTGCATAGGGTAAGAACCTGTCCCAAGTCAGTTTTCGTCTGCAGACCAGCATGTGGCAAGTTACTGTTATTGCGTTTTACAGGTGAGGAATCTGAGCCTCAGAGAGGGAGTGGGCTTTGTCCGGCATCATGACAGCGGAAGCCCACAGGCTAGGATTTGAACCCAGCTCCTGAAGACGCCAGGGCCTTGCGCCTGTCCGCTAGCCATTCCAGCCTGCTTCACAGCCACGCCTCCTGGCCCCTGCTCCAGGGCTCCACGACTACTGATTAAAAGAACAGCTTTACCATCTGGTTTAACCTGATTTTTCCTCCTCCTTTTTCTTCCCCAAACTGCATGCCCAGGAAGGAGGCTGGGGCAGTACGGACTGCACCTGAGCTGGGAGGACGGACGGGGTGGGCAGGTGGGCGGGGCCGCAGACTGCTCCTTTTGGGAGATCCATAGGCAGCTGCCCGGCGCTATGCCTGCTGGGGCCTTCGTGCTGGCATTTGGCCCATTCAGGAAGTCTAGGCTAGGTGTGGCCTAGAAGACAGCATTGCCTCAAACTGACTCATGCCAGCGAGCACTGGCTAGCTACCTGCTCTGTGCCCAGCTCTGTGCCCAGCTCTGTGCTGGGAGCTTTGTGGGTTACTTCACCGAAATGAATCCCCTCAACAGCAGTGAAACGTAGGCAAGAGACCCATTCATTTGTTCATTCACTCATTCACACGTTCTTTACGCCAAACTTTGCTGAGCACCACTTCATTCCAGAGGATACTGCCTCAGGCTCTATGATGGGCCAGGCACTTGTGTTCTTATTTTAAAAGGTAGTAGATCAGGGTATGATATAGAGAGAAAGACTTTGAGGTCCATAGAGGAGTTTGATCAGAGGAGACCTGGGGAAGTTTGGAGAGGAGGTGGGATCTGGGCTGAGCCCTGCAGTAGCAGAGTTTGGGGTGGGGAAAGGGCATTCAGGCAGGGGTAACAGAGGCCAGGCAGCAGGATAAAGAAGAGCGTGTTTGGGAACCAAGTGTTGACTGACCCTCCGGAACAGGGTTACCCGCACAGGGCAGTGGGGAGAAGGGTGGTTAGGAAGGAGGCTGGGAAAGTGGGTTCCTCATCTAGTCTTTGTAAGTGGCTCCCAAGGCCACCCACCAACCTCTCTGACCCTCAATTTGCCATCCTGTGAACCAGATTTAATGACCCTCGTCCTGCCTGTGTTATAGGGAGGTTTTGAAGGTCAAATGAAACCCAGAGACTTTGTTATGCAGAGAGAGAGAGGTCACTTGCCCCTGGTTTTGCTTCTGTCCCAGGGGTGTGTGGGCCCCTGGGTTTCAATGGTTTCTTCAGGACTGGCCTCCAGCCACGCCTTGCCAGCCCTGCAACCCCCACCCCAGGTGCTCCTGAAGGTCAAGAGCGTGTCCTCCTCATTTGCATCCCGTGCATGGGGTAGGTGGTCAGAGCCCAAGTCAAGAAGTCAGCTTAACGGCAGCCTGATCCCCATTCAGGTGCACATTGCCCCAGTGCCCTTGGCAAATCACTTTCGTCTCTGAGCCTCAGTGTCCTTATAACGGGGCTGTTGTGAGCTGTGGGGAGCAGTAGGTGATACGGAGCTTGCGTTCAGCCCCTGTGAACGACTTGCCGGGACCACTCTAACCAGGGACCTCACCACCCTTCCCAGGATATCCTGGAACAGGAAGGCTCTTGCTGGTTCAATTCCCAACTGACAGTCAATTACTCACTCGCTCACTGTGTTCACTCACTCCATTCACTCACTCCTTCAACGAATGTTTACTGACCACCTTCCAGGCACCCAGCACAGCACTGAGTGCTTTGTTGTTGCAATATTTAAGACAAGGTTTTTAACCTCATCAGAGAACTTATAATTGAATTAAAATTGGCAAGCAACATGTAATTATGTGCCTCCTGGATGGGGCAGGTGGCAGTTGACGGAGTGCAGAGAGAGAAAAAGACACAGAAATGGTTAGGTTGGAGTAGGGTAGGGATATGCCTCAGGAAGACCTCTCAGAGGGTGTGGCCTCCAGCAGAGTCCGTGGAACTCAGGAGGGCGGGGAGTGGAAGGTGGGCATTCCAGGTAAGGGAACTACCTGAGCAAAGGTATGGAGGGAGGCATGCATGTGGCCATCAAACCTGCTTAGCTGGAAGGAACGGGTGGAACCTTGTTGTATAGGTGGCCAGGGCTGGGCAGCAGAAGGCCAGGAGACTGAGTACTTCCTGCAGCCTGGATTCCAGGGTGTTGACAGGAGGAGGCTGCAACACCAGCTAACTCAGAGGCTCTGAGGTGGTGAGGTGGGAGGGTCAGTGATGGGCTCTCCTCCCTGCCTGGCAGGCGTCCTGCCCCTTTAGATAGGACGCAGGGTGGGAAGAGCAGATCCTGCCTCTGATTCATTGTGTAGGTCAATACCCAAGTAGAAGTAGGTCACTGTGTTTCTCAGAGCCTTGGTTTCTAAACATGGAAAATTGGAGCGACTGGGCCAGATGGTCTCAATTGCCTTTCCAGCTCTGGGACTCTAGAATCTTCTTATTGTCGATCTTGCATCTGCCATGGCAGACCTACCCATCCTGGCTTCTCGGCAATCACCCTCCCCACCAACCGCATGGTTAGCTTGTGCGCTCATGCGTGCTTCACATGATCCTTCTCCTCCAACCTGACTCTGGAAGATTCTTGACCCTGGAGAGACACACTTCACAGCCAATCAGACGAATCCTTTGGAGAATTTAAACCAAGAGATCCAGGCCCTGGATCAATGAGATAGTGTTAGCCCTTAGATGCAAGATTATAAGAAGAAGAAAGACTAGTGTTTGTTGAGCTTTATTTCATTCTCACATCAACCCTGCAAAGTAAGCTCTATTTGTACGCCCATTTTATAGATGAGGAAATCAAGTTTAATGAAGGACCATGTTTGTCAGATTATGGCATGCAGCTGGTTATGAATTGCATCCCAATTCTCTAAGAAAAAAGTTTAAAACAAAAATCAAAATGTTTAGCTTTTAGTATATTTTAAGCTTAGTGTATATTAATATACATATTTAGTATAGTTGAGTATAGTACATATTATATATACTAAAAATATACTAAAAGCTAAAGATTTCCATTTTTAGTATATACACTAAAAATAATTGTAAGATATCTCTAGAGGAACCTATAGTATTTTGTTTATGTAAATACCATATACCATGGACTGAAATTCCAATAGGAAATTCTGAATAAGTTCTACTAACTCTGAAACGAAATGTTTCTTGGAAACTGACACTGTAGATAAAGAATTTAAGGAGTGAAGTGAACATGGGTTTTCTATATCGGGAAGGACCTTCCCTGAGATCTTTCGAGCCTGTATCTACCATTAGCATCTGTTGGTTGACGTTTTCAACACAGGCCTCTTCTCGGCAATATGGACACACGGGATATATCGGTGGGGAAAGGAGCGATGTGGATGTAGTTTGTCTGCATTGCTGCAATTTGGCTGCAATGCTACTCCACCGGCACCTGCAGTAACAAAGTTCCATAGACAGAATATGACCTGGGTCTTTATCACTTGACTTTCCTGCCTCCCCCACAGGTAGCTGAGAGCTGCACCAGATCTAAGCCCTGTACATTAAAATCCCAGATGGGCTGAAGTTCTGGAAAAGCAAGAAGAAAACACTCAGAGACAATGCAGATCTGCAGAGAGGGTGATGGAGCATGTGATCAGAGAGAAGCAGGGCAGCACTCCAGGAGCCCCAGAGAGACACGGAGAGGACGCTTTCGTTCTCTGGAAGCCCCGCGCACGTTCTGCAGCCTCAGTTGTGAGATTGCTTTGAATCTTGATGGCCAGTTCCCATTCACGTAAACTTTTCTGAGTAAAAGTCATTTCTAGCAACCAGACAGTCCCTGATAAAGACCTCAGTGTTATGATGATGTCTATGTCCTACTAATTAAGATCCTGGGATATGCATCCTACTCCATAAACTTGACTACACAAGAAATGTTACACTATTTTATTTCCTTGAGGTCTAATTAAATCTGACCCTGACTCCAAGAAGCAAGTACTTCTTGCTGAGGTACCTGAAAAATTGATGTCAGTTGTGAGTGAGATGAGATGGGGGGCACCCCCTTATTTTATTTTATTTTATTTTATTTTATTTCATTGAGACAGGGTCTCACTCTGCCACCCAGGCTGGAGTGCAGTGGTGCCATCGCAGGTCACTGCAACCTCTGCCTCCCAGGTTCAAGGGATTCTAGTGCCTCTCGTGAGGATCCAGTGAGAAAATGGACATAAAATCCAAAGTGGAGTAGCTTGGGACTACAGGTGTGTGCCACCATGCCCAGCTAATTTTTGTATTTTTTAGCAGAGACAGGGTTTCACCATGTTGACCCGCCTGGTCATAAGCTCCTGAACTCAAGAGATCCTCCTCCTGAGCCTCCCGAAGTGCTGGGATTGCAGGCGTGAGCCACCGCGCCGGGCCCAGGATCCCTCTTCTTTGGGCAGTGCACCATTTGTGAAGCCCCCACCTGAAATAGGTCTTCAGTCCAGCCTCGCAGACATGGCTACTGCTGACCTCCTCATCCCTTCTGTGGGGGCCTCTATAGTAGGCATCTATTGTACTGCTGTGCCAGGGTCTCGCCTCCCTGAATCAAATGTGCCACTCAGCCACTCCTATTGGTCACCGAATTTTCCACCCCCGCCCAGTCCTGGTCAATCTCCCTGTCTCATTGCACTCAAATGCACTTGACTCTCTCCCTCCCCTGCAGCATAATAACTCAAGTTCAGGCTTTTACTCAAAGCCAGAGGCGGCAGCCTGTCGTTGATTACCTTCTAGGTAGCATGGGGCTAGTTTGTACTGGAGGAAGGAAGACGGAGTATAGGAGCACAGAAAGGAAAGGCAGCACCCCACTGGTCATCATGACAATCAACTAGGGTGTTTCTAATGGCCATGGTACCCACTGCTTCTGGAAACCTCTCTTTTCCAGAAGGCCCTGGTGGCCATGGAACCATGGAACGTAGATCCCCCACTGACATTTGAGTGGATTCCTGAAGTTATTGCCTGCAGCACGAGATCCATTTGCTCCCAGCAGTGAGAGATGGAGAGGGAGCAACTGGGTCCTAGAGCCGGGTGGTCAGTGTGAGGCTCCAGCAGGATCCTGGCGGCTGGTGGCTTCCCCCACCAGCTTCTCCGAGAGCTGCCCCAGCCCACTGCTATTTCTCCAGGATTCTTCCTTGGGAGTAGCTCTATGATCATTTTTATTGGATGTGTCAAAATCACTTTGTTTAAGCTCAAATCTGATCTAGGTTCTCTGTTGAAATAAATCCCAAACATCTCAAT